ATTAACCATAATTACATTGAACCTTATGGGAAAATTTGATTCGGGTCGCAACCAAAATTGGTTTTGCGACCAAATTCGGAGGGGTCAGAACAGATTAACCATAATTACATTGAACCTTATGGGAAAATTTGATTCGGGTCGCGACCAATTCAGGTCGCGAGCAGAGTTGCAGAACGAATTAAGTTCGTGAACCGAGGTACCACTATATTTGAAAATACATGTGTCATACATGCAGTATATCATTTTGCTTTCTAAAACTATTGCAACAGTGACTTCTCTTTTTCCACTGTTCAGTTGGATCTGCAATTGGTGGGGTCGTCGGAAGGCGAGGAGCAACCCAGAGAATTTATACAGTCGATGGGAGCAGGACCATGATTTGCAGAGCTTTGGAGCATTGGGGCTCTTCTATGAATACCTAGAAATGGGTAAACACAAAAGACAATGAAAAGGAGTATTGTGTAGTGGATAAGGATAATACTCTAGGTCATTTCTCTTGGCTGAAATGCTATGTGCATTAAGAGCATTCCACATACACCTTTACATGTGGTAGCATTGACTTGTTCTTTGGAATAAAGAGAGGCCAAATCTGTTCTTTATAAAATATTTCTTCTTTATTTATGCATTTATTTTTTAGATTTAGGTGCTGCCCAACTCAAAATATCTCCAAAGTAGCCTTGTATGTAAAAAGAGATGTACAGGTAGTCCTCATTTAGTGACTGCCTCATTTAGTGACCATTCACAGTTTGGATGGTGATGAAAAAATAACTTTATGACCTGTCCTTGCATTTACAACATTCGCAGGTCTGTAAAGCAAAGGAAAACTGAAGTAAGATCATAAGCACAGTCATGGCTTCACTTAGCAACTACTTCGCTTAATGACCGAGTTGCTGGTCCCAGTTGTGGTCACAAAACAAGGACTACCTGTAATGTGCATAGAGTGCTCAGAGATTCCATGGATCTCTGGGGGTTCTAGCAGTGGTGTCTGCTTTTTCTTTCAGTCTAGGGAGCAGGGAAAATGATCAGTATTCCTGCATTGGTATTGAACTGGGACAGCAGTTTCATGCTCGATCACTGGGAGTGGGAGTATTATTCCTAACAATATTAATTTCCAAATTGAAGGGGGAAAATACCACATACAAGTTCATATTTTTTTAAAGGGTCAGAGATTCTGAAAGAAATTAATATAAAGGGCACTAGCTTTCAAAAAAAAAAAAGTATTTTAGGGGGGGAAAGGTGAAAAAACATACATTAAGAAATAGCACTGGAGAAACACTAAATCCAAGACTCATAAAGTCAACTGGAAGATATGCACTCCTCTTCATCCACAAGGGGAGAAATGCTAAGCAGCTACACTTACATCCTGCAGACTTTGAAGTTCTAGGGAGGAAACTGAAGAAACTAGGGGATGAGATGGGGTTAATATCATAGATCATCCAATCCATTGAAGGATGCTGGAAAGAGAAATAATATTCCAGGTGAATGTCTGGTTGTCTGAGTGTTGTTCATGGAAGAGATTTGGTTTCTGGGAAATGGTCTGTATAACCTGGACAGTGAACTGCTGGCACATTAAACATTGAATAATAAAATAATAACATCAGATAAGAACTTGTGCACTGCAAGAGTGAGTGGAAGAATAACTAAACCAGGTCTTATTTAAATTGCTCAATGAACAATCAGGACACTGACTCACACATTTCATGGCTCTTGCATTAATGCTCTCATTGTGGAAATAAATAGGATAAGTTTGAACTCTAATTGCAGGGAGGCAAATACCATTTAATAGGTATAACTGAATTATGAGATGATTCTCATGTTTGAAATATAGCAGTTCAAGGATGCAGTTTGTTCAAAAGCAATAGGAGTGTTAGAAAGGGAGGAGGATTTACATTGTATTTTTGCCTGAACAAATATAAAAAATGTTAATGTGGCCATTGTATCGTGCCTTATTTGCAAACTGTTTAGATATTAAACGCAGAAAGTAAAGTAGCTGAAATGTTTTTTAAAACAATTCAGAAAAAGATGCAATAATTTTTTTTTTAAACCCTTTATTCATGATAAAGAAGAATGTCCTTGATTAATGGAACTTTCTTTCATAATGCCAGGTTTGGCCACACAGAGGCACTCAGTTTTAAGAAAACAGAAGTCTGTATAATGGTTTTATAGTGAGGATGCAGCAAGAGCAACTAGAATTATATAAGCTCAGGACATCTTTAAAATCTGTATTTGTTTATGCAGCAGGGTGAATGGCTTGTAAGAGTACAAAATAGCCTTCCTTAATCTGGTGCCCTCCAAATGTGTGGACTTCAACAAGTAGAGCTCAGCAGTAATTAGGGGAATATGGTCTACACATCTGGAGGGTACTCAGGGAAAACCCGATGCAAAGATCAGGTTTGTTTTTTTATTCTGCCTTAAGGAACTTGCAATCTACAACCTAAAATAAGGAACCTTATAAAGTATGAATATGGATATGACAACATATAATAGGTTTTGGTTTAATTTTAAGCAGATATCCTGGGTGATTATGCTAAAGACTTCAATTAAAAAGTGGGGGGGTTTTCAGAGAACAGATTTTAAACCATATGTTGAAATCAAACATTCTGAAGTTTCAATCTGTATATGTTTTAGGTTCAAATCAGTATATATGTTTTATTAATAAATAACTACTGCTAACTTAGACTCATCTATTTTAATATGAACATATATTCTGGAGGTATGAAAAATGTTTCAAAGTTGAAACAGGATACTCTGAGGCTGGAATACTTTGGTGAGGTCAGAACAGTATGTCCTGCTTTGAGGTCAAAACATTTTGCACATCTGATACTGCTTTTCATGTAGGAATATTTCCTCCATTTAAACTCTATTGATTATCTAAGAATGTTTCCGATATCATTAACCATAGAAATCTCAAATATAATTTTTCATAGGTTTCATTCAATTACTTATTTGCTATTTTCTATTCCTATAGTTATTCAGTTCGGATTTATTACTCTGTTTGTGGCCTCTTTTCCTTTGGCCCCCCTACTTGCTCTGATGAACAACATCTTGGAGATTCGAGTTGATTCTTGGAAACTTACAACTCAGTATCGAAGGCCTG